TCGCTGCGCCTGTGTGAGAGACGGGCCGTGTCACTGCCTGAGGAGCGCAGGGACCAGCCTCCTCTTCCCTTCTGATGGCCCGTGATCAGGATTTCCTCTGAGCCAGATTCCCGATGCCACCTGGGGTCTCCGCTGCTGCCCCGTGTAGTTCACTGATGATCCGATTGTACCCCACCACTCCCCCTGTGCCACCTACTGGGGTGTGGTGGCCCTGGCCTTGTTAGGCTGAGCGCCTCACTCACCTTCTAATGGTCGCTGCAGCCTTTCTGTACACGTGTGAATGGTCTCTGTACACTTTTTAGTGATTGACAAAGGCAGGAATTAGAAACTGCTTGGTACTATTTGAAACATGGGACAGATGTTCAGGTCCATGTGGTCACTGCCCTCATCCTATCCCTGTTTACCTCAGTTTTATTGTAGGAAATCTTTGGTGTCCTCTCAAGAGTTGCTCTTGAAGAGAACTTGAGGAGCTTTTTTGTGACCTTCTCTGATGAACCAGTGGCAGCAGCTTTTGCAGCAACCTGATGCTGCCTAGGGAAATGACCAATGAAATTCTGACAGTGCAGTGTTGTATTCCAACAAGTATCTCTACTGAAATAGTGCTACTTTTGTAACACTAAATAAAAATAGTCCCTAGGCTAGAAGCACCATACACTGCTATAGTATTGGCTGCCGCTTCCTCAGGTGAGATAAACAAAAACAGTTCTAGTGTGGATTATTCTGGCAAAAGTGGCTTTGTTAGCTGTGTATTTCTGATTTAATTAAAGTAATGAGTAAATGGAAAATGAACTTTTATATTTAGATAGTTTGAAAAGCTTGGGTAACAAACGTGCTTGCTTGTCAGTAATTCTTTACAGTTTATTCTGTTCTTTGAGCACTAGTTTACCATGAATTTTTACTATGTATTTCGGTATCTTGTTTTTTTGTCAAAGATATTTTGTCATCAGTTTCTCTAGTTTAAGAGAACAGTTGTTGTTAGGAAGGTGATGAAACTGATGAGCTTCAGAGTTACTGTATGTTTTCCACTGCCTGATTTTGAAATAGGAGGGTCTACTCTAAGCATTTCTGAAGCTAGGTTTCTGTGACTGCTGTTGCAGTTGGTCCCCTCTCTGTTTAGAGGGGAAAGTTTACTTGTCAGTGTGTGCCATTAGCTTTACTTCAGTTCTTTTGGGAGTACACTTATCTTTATTTCCAGTGATGATGAAATTTCTTAACCAGCATAACAAATGGCAATGTATTGTCCATTTTATGGTCTTCCATGCAGCTGAACGCAATAGTAGAGAAATTTAGTGAAATGTTTACTTTTGTTCATATATATCAGAACAGAAAACAATCACAAACACTAATTCCCGTTACTCTAGGAGTATTCTAAAATTATTTTTCATCTTTTTCTTTTGCTTTGTGTAAAACATTATTTTAAAGAGGCAATAAATCTGTGCCTTGCGTTTTCACTTGTGAACGATTTTGAAGATCCATCTGTTGAACACTTCTCCCAAATCCAACAAAAGTCAATTAGACTAAAGTTAATTAAAATAAAATTGAAGTAATGTATGGTGCTGCTTAGTTAAGTATGTGTTCTTCACTACTTCAGCCCAACCAGCCATACCTTAATCATCATGTGTCCTTGATACATGCATTTCTGAGTGTTTTATTGTGTTCTAAAATAATATGAATTGAACTGAATTACCACTGTTGTGGATGTCATAAAAGCCTAGCTATGATAAAGTAGCTTTAAAAAAGTGTTGCAGACTGCCTTAAGAATTGCACAACAATGTGTGATAAACCATACAATTTAAAATGACTTTCAATTTTAAAAAATCACACTTCTCTCTGAACTTATTTTATGTACTATTGCTACAAGCACTTAAGTTTACTGTACTTGAAAATATTAGAAAAATAATTCTCTAGCTTTGTCAGTTTTACTTTGCATTTGTATGTACATATAGTCAGTTTCACTTCTTTCTCTGCATAATGAATAAGACTTATAGGGGTGTCTTACCCATCCACATTGTAGGCTAGAACACACACACTAAAGATAAACGTGATTTGCAAAGCCACAAAATTGGGAAGTCTTGGTGTAGGAATATAGGCCTACATGAGACCTAAGTAAACTATGATTTTACATTGTTTTGATTTTAACCTAAGTGGTAAGTCTGAAGCATGCAGCCAGTAAAAATGAGAGGGATTATTTGTGTTAAAACTTATAATTGCCCTGGAAATATCACTGTTACCTTATTGAGGGTTTGAGCTAAGCAATGGAAATAAAGGAAACATGGTTAATTGAGCACCAGGTGCAGTAAATAATAAGTTAGAAATGCTTAGTCAAGCCTTGCAGCTAGGGAAAAATATGGCAAAGTGAGATAAGAAAGTATGGTGCAGCCCTAAACTGCTTCAGCTGATTTTAGCTAAGGTCCAATAACCAGCAGTGATATCACTTACTTTTTATGCAGGTTCGTTGTCAGAGTTTTCTTTAGTCTTCTGGAGACATGGCATGATAGGGGAAGGTGTCTCCCGACCCTGAACTTATTGTAAGCATGTTGGCCAATGCTTATAACTGTATTATTGTTAGGATATAAACTATAAGGACATATTCTTATATTGCTCTTTTGGATGTAACTTGCACCAAGTGGACTTTGAACTAATAAAGGAATGCTTGTATGGAAACTGAGTCATGGCAAACCTTAATACAGTTATTAGGGAAATTTCCATAATTATTAGGGAAATTTCCATAACTTGGCTATTATAGCAATTGAAGCTATTTAAAATTATTTTGTTGAAGTTGAGTAGATTCCCAGTTGATTTCTCTCTTAAAGGTGATCTGCTAAGAGGAAAAAAGGGCATGTGCATTTTTTATATATGATGTATATCAGTGGTTCTCAAACTATTGTACTGGTGACCCCTTTCACATAGCAAGCCTCTGAGTGCGATTCCCCCTTATAAATTAAAAACACTTGTTTATATATTTAACACCGTTATAAATGGTGGAGGCAAAGCGGGGAGGCTGACACCTCACAACCCCCATGTAATAACCTCATGACCCCCTGAGGGGTCCTGACCCCCAGTTTGAGAACCCCTGATGTATATGGAGGACTAGGAAAGTGTTTTAAAAGAAAAAAAAATCCTGCTTGTTTGGGAAAAGGATTTTTATTCATAGTGACTAAATCTATTTAACACTTGATATTTTGGATAAATATATAAAGGAAGGTTTCAGGTGCCACAAGTACTCCTGTTCTTTTTATATAAAGGAAGGCTTTATTAATGATTAAATATCCTCACCTTTTCAGTTAAGGTGCTAATTGATGTGGCAAACACTAAGACCTTCCTAAGTGAATATGGTGGTTGCTAATTGCAATACTGAGATGAAGTCTTCCTTTTCCAGCTTCCAGGGGATCATCAAGAGTGGACTTTTTGTCATATCCCTGGATTTAAGTCTGGTTTATAGTTCCATTTTCTGCTCAGACCCTAGGCCAGGGGTTCTCAAACTTCATTGCACTGTGACCCCCCTTCTGACAACAAAAATTACTACACGACCCCAGGAGGGGAGACCAAAGCCTGAGCCCCCTGGGCGAGGGGTCCAAAGCCTAGGCCCTAGGACTTCAGCCCCAGGCGGGTGGCCTGTAGCCTGAGTCCCGCCGCCCAGGGCTGAAGCCCTTGGGTTTGGGTCCCAGGCAGTGAGGCTTTGGCTTCGGCCACAGGCCTCAGCAAGTTTAATGCCAGTCCTGGCAACCCCATTAAAACGGGGTCCCGACCCACAGTTTGAGAACCACTGGCCTAGGCTCATGTACTCACAAAAGAACTATTTTCATTTTGGTAGCTCCAGTTTGGCCTTTGTTACCTTTTGGTTCCCAAAACTGTAAGTAAGATTTTGTCCTCCCTCAGGTCAGGGGAGTATTGTTTCTTGTTTCAGGGACAATACTTCACTAGAATCCCAGTTATCTATGTCTAAAAGAATGGTTTTATATATTATGTATGAGATGACAGGGATTGAGTAAATTGTAGTATTCCATTTTTAACATACTCTGCGTATAGGATGTTTTCGGAGTGAAATAAAGAACATGGGCTTATTCACCTCTTATGCAAAATTTGTGCAAATTCTTAGTAAATTACAGAGAATTTAAGGTTTGAGTCTTTGTTCCCTTCATGTTCAGCTGGTTGTCATTAGCAACGTATTCTGCATCCAGTCAGTGATGTAGCTTCATAGTGAGGTTTTTCAAAGCAGTGTACAAACTACACTCTAAACCAGTGGTTTTTAACCTTTCCAGACTACTGTATCTGTTTCAGGAATCTGATTTGTCTTGCAGACCCCAAGTTTCACCTCACTTAAAAACTACTTGCTTACAAAATCAGACGTAAAAATACAAAAGTGTCACACTACACTAATACTGAAAAATTGCTTACTTTCTCATTTTTACAATATAATTATAAAATAAATTGATTAGAATATAAATATTATACTTACTGTACTTTCAGTGTGATACTTAAGGCTCACAAGTGAAAAATAGTCTCATCTGAAGACTGAACCCTGCCGCCTGGGGCTGAAGCATGTAACTTGGCTTTGCAGGGCCCCCTGTGGCACGGGGCCCTGGGCAGTTGCCCTGCTTGCCATCCCCTAATGTTGGCCCTGCACTTGTGACACCCCCCCCCCCGTCTCTTGATGACTCTTCCCGCCCCCGCCCCCCTGGGGCTGAAACCCTGAAGTTGAGAAACACTGATCTAGATTAATTGAGTAGCCCCTGGAAGACCTCTGAGTATCCCTGGCTGAGAATCACTGTTCTAAACTATACTCTTCCTTTCCATTTCAGGATTTCTGTTTAATTCCTAATCCCTTGATTAATGTCCCTTTCTAACCGGAAAGGTTGGTTGGTTTGGTTTCAAAGAGGTGAATAAGCCTATATTCTTTATTTCATCCTGAAAACATCCTATACACAGCAGGGGGAGTATGTTAAAAATGCAGTACTACAATTTTCTCAACCCCTGTCATCTCATATGTAATATATAAAACCATTCTTTTAGACATAGATAACTGGGATTCTTTCCCTAAAAAATGGTGTCTTCAGTGGCTGTTTACCTTGCTAGTCAAGGAGTGATAGAAATTCCTACAAGATATGCCTATTCAGTTTTTCACCAGGTCAAAGTAGGAAGATGAGAAAAAAGATTTGACTGCTAAGTTTGTCAGTACCTTTGATTTTAATTGAGATCTCTTCCTATTCTGTATAAATCCTAACATTGGCCATAGTCCAAAAAAGTGCTTAAGCGTGTATGCAGCTTTAAGCACATGAGCAGCCTCATTGAAGTCAGTGTGGTTACTTAAGCACATAAGTGCTTTGCTAGATCAGAGAAATTGTGAAAGGAGTATTGGCTTGAAAAGAATACTTTGCAGGTGTATCTTAAAAATATACAGGTTAAGGAAATCTGGTCATCCTGTTCTCTTTGCGGTCCTCTCATTGGCTCAAAGATAATTTTAGGGAAGGCTGTATCTGTAACCTTTGGTTGGAGTCAGAACATATTCTCCAAGGGCAGTCTACTGCCTCAGTAGAGACCAGACACTCCCAACAAGAATTTTAGAGGACACCAGTGTGGATGTATTCTGTTGCAGCTTTTGGAGATGGCAGTGGCAGTTTTCACACATGGGTAGTCCAACAGTTCTTTGGGAAATGCTCTGATAATCCCATGGTCTGAGTCTATAAGAGTATGAAAAAGGAGGATAACTTTTTGTTGTTGTTGATTAAGTGTCTGAATATTCTTGTCCTGTTTGTTCCCTTTGGCATTTCATCTTGTTATTGAGTAATGCTGGTAGTTACTGCTAGACTACTATTCATGCCGTGGTAGACAGCAGTACTGTTATGTTTCAAAAAAGGAGATTTGTTCCTGTCTTCCCTACCTTATATAGGAGTACTTGAAAACAATCCTTCTGCAAAAATACTCACCTAAATAAACCCTAAGTAGAGCACAGAACTTCTCTTTTTGGATATAACAGTAAATATGACTACTTCCAAAGACCTTTTTGCTCCAGTAAATTTTTTGAACACTGAAGGGTAAGGGTTTTCTATTGATAATCATGTAACTCATTAACATTGTGAGTTGAATATGTTTATCAGTATATTTTCTGTTGGATGGTATAGTTGTCAAATTATCCTTTTTTAGCAGCAATTCATCTTCCTCCCATATATGTTGAATTACTCATACATAGCCACCTTAATATACCCATATCACATTATAGGATTTGCAGTCTTATGTTTTGATTTGTCAAGCAGTTGACAGGGTATAAGAAAAAAATAGCCATTAAGAGATCTGTTTCTCCATTTAAAGCAGTTGGCCATATTCTGTGGCAAGAAATTCCAATTGATCCCTGAGTAAATAACTGTGACTGAAGGAACTCATCTGTTAGCTGTCACCGTGTTGATGTTTTATCCTACAGACTCAGGCTGCTATCAATATATTCCTTAAAATCTCCTTTTCTGATCATCCATCTCCCTTTTTATTTTTCCTTTTCTTTTAAAGGGTTGTGTTTCTTTTCACTCCCTCTTTATTTTGCTAGTGTTTCCTTTTTGTCTGTCTGTCTTGGGGAAGGGTCTGGTGAAATTCCCAAGGAAGTATATGGGATTGTCCTTCCACTGGCTCCAGACCATTGATGTTTCTCCTTCAGTTGACTTGGGGTGCTATCCAGCAAGTGATGGAAGCCACATCCTCATGCTTATCCCTGTCTCTTGTCTAGGGCTGAGCATGCTGCTACTCCCCATCAACAATAAAGGCTCATACAATACTGCCCCAGCCTCTGGTACTCCTCTTCCCTGGCTAAGTAAGAATAGAATAGCATTGTATATGTTCAGAACTGTCAATCTTACTTTGCTGCTTATGCTATTTCTTGTGCTAGGGAAGGACTTTGAGAACAGTAGCATAGGCAAGACTGGCTCAGTGGACTTTTTAAGTGTGTTTGGGGTGGTGAAAGAAGTCACATGACTTTTCACCAGATTAAAACCTTGATGTATGTGCAGCTCTTACAAGTGAAATGTTAGCTACATAGAAGTCTGAGACCGATTTTATTTGTTCTACATGTAATATGTATGTTTTCTTTTTAACCAAGTCAAGCATACTGCATTTTGGCACGGGGGAGGAGGAAAGGGGATTATTATGAGAAATAGCCATACTGAAATTCCATAGAATTGTTTTTCCTTCCCTATTCTACTCTTCATGCACACACTGCTATGCCCTATTTTATCTTTTTTAATATCTCATCTCAGAAGTGGGGTCCATTGATATTCGTTTGACAAGCTCGTTCTGACACACTTTGGATATGTTCAAGTGGTCAGTGAGAGGGCATAAATACCCCTTCCCCCAAGACTTATTTTTTGCCCTTACCTCATTCTCTTCGCCACCCCAGGAAATTTGAAAGAGCATTTTTTAAATATCCTGCAAAAGATTCAGTGGGATAGTTTAAGTACTCTGAAAGCTTGTTTTAAAACCTTATCTGTACTGGAGAAAATAACATGGATTATTGGGAAGGCAACAGTCAGTGTAGCTTATCTGAAATTTGTAAGGATAAACCCCATGGTTCAACCAGTTAGTTGTGTATCAATGTAGACCCAACACATTGGTACAGTTGATGCCCTGTTAACTGATACCTATCGGAGATTACAATACCCTCAGCTCGTGAATGGTCTTCAGTTTGTTGATTGTGAGTTTTCTCTCTCTGCCCTTGGTGGGCCCCCTCCCTGCCTCTGGTTTCCTCTCTTCCCAGAAGAGCCCCTCTGTATCCTTTAGAAATACTTCTGGCTCTGCATGTCCTCATCTGGTGAAGCACCTGTAGATCAGTAGCTGAAACTGTACTCTGTAGCTTGTCCACTCACCTCCAGTAATGTCCCCTGCTCTGACTGTGCCACTGCTTGCTTGTGGTTCATCAGAGTGAGAATGTCAGCCATAATGTGGGCCTGCCAAAGGGAGAGTGGAGTTGGTCAAGGTGCTCTGTTAGCTTTGGAGTGTTAGGGAGAATCTGGTACCTAAGGTATTGTAAGGAGCGCAGCTACTAGTTGTGCTCTTCTTGCTGTCTCTTGAGCTGGAGAATCATCTGTGGATTGCTGTCTGAAGCATTCACTCTGACAAACTACCTGTAGTTTGTTAGAGCAAGAGGATTAACTGGTGAACCATTAGTGACTCACTGAGTAGCAGATAGAGGGGAAGGCATTAGTGTAGGTGTTCTGTCCAATGGTGGCAGTGGGATGGGAGGTTAATGGTGTTTAAGAAATACAGCCTTAACTGGTGGTTTGTCACAGTTTGAGGATCTTCAGAACAGGAGGGAGGGCATGGCTCAGTGGCATTTCTATGGAGCAGGATATACTGAAAGGATGAAGACAGCGGAGAGGGGACTCTTAGTTGGCAAGTAAGGATATGTGCTGGCTTAGGCGGCAGTCAAAGATAACTGTTCACATCTTTATTTTATGGCAGCCTTTATGTGAATTCAAATCAACACCGGTGGTTTTTGATCTGCAAGGCCACATTCATTTAGGATTTGCCATGATGAATGTAGACGCAAGGGCAAAACTTAAACCAATTAGGGAGGCGAGTGTGGACTCAAGTGTTGGTATTTCCATCAGTGCTGTATGACCAGTTGAAGAGCAATAATCGATTGCTCTAGTGTAGACAAGCCCTTATTTTTCATGTGCTTTTTAACATTTTTATGACCTGGTGGCTGCATAGAAAATTGAAATAATCCTAGGAGATTTTTTCCCCCCATTCATTAAAGATTATGTGCTAAGGTAAAAAATCTTACTTCCCGGGACAGGGGTTATATTGTAGGACAACACATAATATATGAGGCTTGTGGATTATATCTATCCCATAAAATGCTTGTGTACGAAACCATCAGGTCTGCTCTGTTTGCATTGTAGATGATAAAACTTTAAAGACGCCATATTGGTTTTGGGGTGGGGGACGAGGAGAGTTTGGGGAAAGAAGGTAGGAATGGTGAGGTCTCTGGAAGAAATCCTTCCCAGCAGAAGACTTCATCCCATATTATGTAACTCACCAGGGGTTGGAAACCTGTTCTAGTTCAGCAAAAGACCACAAGTAGGGGGAAATATTTTCTTAGCTGCTTTGCTTTCCTTAAACTATCTCATAAAGCCATTATACAGATTCCTTTAATACTTTCTTTGAAGTTCTGTGGGAGTAATGTTCTCTGTTATATCAGAAAACTGTGAATGCCTGGCATTGACATATAGTATGCAACTGCTGATAGATAATAGTTGTCTCCTCAGCTGCAGTCCATATCGCCAATTGTTATGAATTTGAAGAGGTTTGAAACTTGTAAGGACCTGTGCTCTCACTGCAACTTGAAAATTGGAACAGTTGAACTGTCCTGTGAGTTTAATCTGTTCTAGAGCAGGGGGTTGGACTAGATGACCTGAGGTCTCTTCCAACCCTGATATTGTATGGGTCTATGAAATAATTTTAAAATAAAACAAATGGATTATCGTTTGACCTGTATGAAATGAGGTGTTGTTTCCTTTCAGATATCTGGCAGATAACATTCATGTCAATATGGCATTAATTGGAATCCATGTTGGCAGGGTCAGCAGAGTTTTAAGTTTGAATGGACAGGGATACTGAACTATAGCACCTTATACTAGAGGTGTCAAACATATAGTCTGTGAGCCACACTCTTCCCTTTTTAATTTGATTGATATGTCAATGACACTTCTGCAATTAACTTTAATCGCTGATCACTTTTATTGAGGAAGGCAGTGGGAATGATTGCTGTAGGTATTGGGAATTGCTGCAGGGAATAAAGTGTAGAGGAAAGAATAGAGGAGGCGCTCAAAGACAATGAAGGGGCAGAGAAATAGAATAAGGAGGATAGGAAAGAAAGAAGGAAAAAAAAAAAAAGAGGCAGGAATAGTTGTGGGCCTGAAAAGGAGCATGTTTTCTGAGTGAGCTCTGGATGTGAGAATAAGGCATGGAATAGAATAAAGTTACATAAAGCCATCACCTTCTTGTGATCTCTATGGAAACCTCCCATAGACATCAGAGGGCATTCTGAATAGTTAGCAGTCTGAATGTAGCTCTCCCTTCTTTCTCTTGAATTCTTGTTGAGGTACATTGGGGAAGTTTGCTCAGGTTACATGTTATGAGGCTCAGTAAGAGGATTTTAACTTCTATTAATCTTGTCATTTTAGTACTTGTGAAAAAGTAAGAGAAGGTTAACTCTCCTCTTAAAGAAGGAAAGGCACTAAAGAAACTGACCATGTTAACTGCAGAATGAGAGATGGATTTGGAAACAGGCCGTAAGATTAGAAAACGAAGAAATACAATTAGTAAAACAGAATGAGAGAGACTGTTTACAACAGGTAGTAAAAGATATAGTGAAAACCAGAACAGAATGTAACAAAAGGAAAATAAAAGAACTTGAAAGGTGGGGGAAAGCTTGCTAAAATTTATTTGTGTATATTTAATACTTCTCCATATCTAAACATTTACAATTACTTAAAGCAAATTTAAGCCACATATGGCCAAGCTCCCTGGAAAAAAATATTTTTGGGGGGGAGGTCCTATCCTGCTGTTTGCTTGTTTTCCTGGTTATTTCTCGTGTGTGTGTTCATACAAGTAAAAATGGCCCTTCTTGGGTTGCTTTGTACTATAATACACATTTTATTTTAAATATGGCTTTAATACTCCTGGGAAATAGGATAGCAATAAGGAAGGAAAGAAAATTTAGAGAATCATTAACTTTAGATTTAGTTTGGGCCCTGTATGTCTCTGTGCATAGAAAATTTTTTTTTTTTTTTTTTTTTTGGACTGGGAAAGCTCTGCTTTAACCTTCTGTTGAACTAAAAACGGCTTAATAAAAGCTTATTACAAGACTAGCATTTTAGGTATTTAATATCAAAGTGCACATTTAATATTAGGAAAAATCTATATTTTATATCAGAGCATCTTAATATATTTGTGCAAATTAAGTTTTTAGTACATGTTTATCTTGTAGAAATTCTAAAAAATAGGATAATTCTATAATTTGAAAGGGGAGGATGGCAGCTTTGAAACATTTAGAGAAAATCAGTAAACTCATTGTCAGAACCTAGAAATAATACAATTTTAAAGATTTTTAAAAAAAAAAATGTTTTTATAAAATAGTTACTTGCACTTTACCTGCTGGCTTTTCAATTTTGGTAGATAACATTCTGAACTCCAGCAGAGTTTTATAATCCCTAGTGCTTAAATATACTAAATGTTCTTTTTCCATTAAGGTTAATGTTCGTGAAGAAATTGAAGAGTTTTTTCCAAGATTGTGGAAGATAAATCAAGATAAAAGAAGGCTAATGAAAAGTATTAAAGATCAGAAAATTAAAATTGAATGGGGGAAAAAATTGAACAGAAGATTGGTCAGATAGAAGCACTTGAATGTTTTTTTAAGGCTATAATGAATTGTTTGAATTGGGGAAGAATACACGAAGTATGAAAAATGAAAAACTCAATGAAGAATGAAGAAAAGTAGAAAGCAAGAGTGAAGTAGAATTAAAAGAATCTGGAAGAATGAATGGGTCCTAGGTTAAGTAAATGTATGGTTTATGTTCCAGTGTCTGTATGATCAAGTTGTAGATGAATTTGCATGATTACTTAGTTAATAGAGAATTGGTGATCTGGTTCAAGTAGGGAATTATTTGAGGAAAACATACAATATTAACAGTGGGTTAACAGACTGAAATTTGTTCTGGAGGGTATTGCCTAACCATTTGTCTTTCAGGAGCAATCAAAATAATATAATTACGGTACTTTAAATGTTAGGAGTTAGGCATTTATGTGACCAGTACCATTTGTAATACTATCTTTTTTGTTAGGAGTCTCGCTCCCAGTCAAAATCTCCAGCTGGGAGTCCTGCTCGTGTAAAATCGGAGAGCAGGTCAGGATCTCGTAGTCCATCGAGGGCTTCCAAACATTCTGAATCGCACTCCCGGTCAAGGTCAAAATCCAGGTATGTACTGATTTTGATAAAAATTAATTCTGCATCATATATCCATGGGTATGATGTAAGATACCTAGAGCTTCTGATTTTCAGTTTCGACCAAGAAACACATTAAAACTCTCCCATACAGAAATCTGTTACACCCAGTAAACAGTGGAAAAACACCAGAAATGGTTACTTGTATCTGAAGTCTTGTCTAAATGAAGCAGTAGTGTAGACTGTTGCTTAACATGTTGGGCATTAATTGGGCCCTGCTAGTCTGCACTAAAATCCCTAGTGCACTTTAATATAGTGCTGTTTAAAACAGCACCATGTTCTTCTTTGAGGAGTGTCCATGTGGGTGCTCCACTTTAGGTGAATCTGCATGCCTGTGCTTGGAATTGGAGATTTTTAGTTTCAGTGCCTGGTTGGGTCACACATGCGCTGTCCCTGTCTCACAGAGTACCAGTTTATAACCCAGTTAGTTCATAGTTAACTGCCCTATCTTTTCCCTGTTTTTCTTTTATTTAAAAAAAAAAAAAAATTCTTCCTTATCTTAGGAGTTTAAGTTTCAGTTATTAGTATACCCCTTGGTGTAATCTAGTTATCCTCCCTTACGGGACAACCTTATTCTAAGAGGCATGACCGGCTCTCCCCACCACCCTCTCAGAGGAAAGAGCACTTCCCCAAAAAAGCGACATAGAAATGGGCTCCAACTTCCCTGTCTCGGGAAGCTGCCAAAAAGAGACTTTCTCCGGCCTCTCAGGCACATCAGTATTGACTGCACCGAGACCATCCACCTCTAAGGTAGTGGGATCATTTGATACTGTGCGAGCAAGCGACCCTAAGAGGGCTGGCTCAGAAAAAAGCAAAAACGGGGAAATCCCTGCCTCGGTACCGCCAAAGCTGATCAAATGTGGCACTAAGCAGCTTGGCACCACTACAATCTATGGCACTACCTCCTGCCTACACAGTGCATAGCGCAAGGCCCTCGGCACCGGCAACTGCGGTAAAGGCGCTGGTACCGCCGACAATACTCTCCTTGGTATCAATGCTCTCTGTACTGCAGCAATTCCTCTGGCATAAGGACCTTTTAGTCTCGTCAGCACCAGAATCTCCACTCCTGAGTACTGACCTTACTCCAGCATGCTCAGTACTGTACCAACTTACCACACTAGCCAGATCAGCTCCTCCTTTATCCAGCGATGAGGCTAATGATGATGAAGGGGAAATCTCCTCCCACCACTCCTTGCCTACCCCCAGCAGACCAGGTCCACTACAACAGGAATACCAACTCATACTTGAAACTCAAGGATGGCATAGAAACCCATGGATGCTGCCACCGATGCCATTCCCACCACAGTGGTCTTATTGGGACTCCTGGGCAGTGTACTGCCAACACTGTCAGCCTCCCAGTTCACACAGAGAGAGAGGGCGAGGCATTCCTCATCACCCTTTGCACCTGTACCCTCTGAACCTCTGGAAGAGGCAGTTGAGGAACTGGAAGAGACTTCAGATCGAGAGTCACCCCAGGTACCAGTTTTTCATCCTCCTTTCTGGATGAAGCTATCATTCTTCCACCACCCACAAGGGGGGGATGACTTTAAACAGTTCTGAGAACTATTTAAGAGAATCACAGATTTATTAGAGATTCCATTGGAACAAGTTGTGGAGTCCCAACATAAGTTGTTGGATATCCTTCAGACTCTTCTGAGATTGTCCTACCAATAAACGAGGCTCTCATGGACACGGCCAAGACCATCCTGCAGACCCTGGCAACAATTCTACCCGCTTGTAAGAGAGTGGACAAAAAATACTACATCCCCTCCCAGGGAATGGAATTTTTGTTTTCCCATCCCACACCAAACTCTCCGGTGGTAGAGACTGTGAATGAGCAGGGCAGGCAACATCACTCTAAAATAGGGTGACCAGATGTCCTAATTTTATAGGGACAGTCCTGATATTTGGGGCTTTTTCTTATATAGGCTCCTATTTCCCCCACCCACCCCCCTCCTTTCCCGATTTTTCACACTTGCTATCTGGTCACCCTACTCTAGAACCACCCCGTATGATAGGGATTGGAAGTGGTTAGACCTCTTTGGGCATAAGACCTATTTGTCAGTGACCCTACAATTCAGGATTGCCAATTACGAGGCACTGATGGCCAAATACAATTACACAAATTATTGAAAAATGTCTGAATTTATTGATCTCCCTGAGGACAAAAAACCAGCTATTCAAAGCAACCATGTCAGAGGGCCACCTTCTCGCTTGACCAGTCTGACAAGCCTCTCTGGACATGACAACACATTCCATTACCACCGCCATAGTCATGTGACAAGTTTCCTGCCTCCACTTCTCTGTTTTTCCCAAAGAGGTACAATCTACCTTCGAGGATCTCCAGTTCGAGGAATCAAAGCTGTTTGCAGCTAAGATTGATGAGTCTCTTCACACATTAAAAGACTCCAGGGTGACTCTCAGATCGTTGAGCATTTATGTATCTTCTCAAAAGAAAAAACTAGAAGTATTATTTGGCATAAAGAACAAGATCTGCACCCTACACCCAACCTCAGAGGCAATATGATCCGCAGAGACAAAGACCCGCTAGACAGAGACCACTGTCTTCTCAGCCCCTTACATCCCAACAACCTCCTTCTAAACAACGGTTTCGAGGATTTGGTCGAGAACCAGAGATATCTCCCACATCTTTTATTGCTGGAACCATCCAACACCATCCATCCATTCAGAGACCGTCTGACTCAATTCCACCCAGTGTGGAGAAACAACATATCAGACAAACGGGTACGGGAAATCATGGAGACTGGCTATTCTATCCAATTTGCTTCCATCCCCCCTACCCACTCCCATGTCCCTCGTTAGGGATCCTTCTCATGAACACCTACTATGACAGGAGGTAAACCATCTCATACCTGGGACAATGGGGGAAGCGTCACGCCCAGGGGGTCAGGGGGAGGGGGCAAAATACAAGTTGCCACAGGGCGCCATTTTCCTAAAGGCCAGCCCTGACTACACGATATACCTACCTTCACAAATGGAAAAGATTCTATACGTGATGCCAAAATAGGCAAACAATGGCAACTACCTCTCCTTTACCAGTGGCATTGGATTACATACTAGAGCTCAAGGAAATTTGAGCTCTCAGTGAGCCCGATCAGAGTACATCTCACAGCAAACACGGTGTTCCTTCACAAAGTGGACACGTTCTTGATCTTCGCCCACCCTACCACTAAAATGCTTCCTCAAAGGTGTTTCTAATCTTTAACCTGTAATACGAGCCACTATTCCATCATGAGACCTCAATCTGGTGCTGCGATGCCTTATGGGGGCCCCTTTTGAACCATTAGTGACATGTTCACTTCTCCACCTTTCAGTGAAGGTGGCCATACTTGTTGCTATCAGATCTGCCTGACAAGTAGAAGAACTGAGGGCCCTCATGGCACATTCCCCATACACAAAATTTTTGAAAAAGTTACCCTATGACCACATCCCAAATTCCTACCTAAAATAGTTACATTATTACATTTGAATTAACCCATCCATCTCCCATCATTCTTCCCAAAACCTCATGGGAACAAACACTTTATATCCTGGGCGTCCGAAGGGCGCTAGCTTTTTACATTGAAAGGACAGAGTCTTTCAGGAAGTTACTAAAGTTATTTCTTTCCATCACGGAATGATCTGCAGGAGATGCCATATCCAAACAAAGGCTGTGGAAATGGATCTCCAACTGCATTGACTTTTATTGCTATCAATGGCTACAACCCCTACTGGGACCCATACACACTCCAACAGAGCATTCTTCACATCAGTAGCCTTCCTCAACAATGTGCCTGTTATGGACATCTGCAAAGCTAGCAACCTGGGCATCAGTCCATACGTTCACCCAGCACTATGTCACAGAGCTGCACTCATCAGACGCTCTATGACTGCAACTCCAAAGCCCCTCCCTTCCACCAAGGGGCACTGCTCTACAGTCACCTAAAGTGGAGCATCCACAGGGACAGTCTTTGAAGAAGAAGAGGAGGAGGAGGTTACTCGCCCTGTGCAGTAACTGAGGTGCTTCAAGATGCTTGTCCCTGTGGGTGCCCCACTACATTTCCTTCTCCCCCTACTTCAGAGTTTTCACACCAGAGACTGGAGTAGAGAAGGAACCGAGGAGGGGACGGTTGGTCACACAGCGCTATGTAACCCCCAGAGGCGGCACGAGACGGGGACAGCGTGTGTGTGACCCAACCAGGCACTGCTACTAAAAATCTCCTATTACAAGCGCAGGGGCACAGATTCACCTGAAGTGGAGCATCCACAGGGACAAACATCTCGAAGAACCTCAGTTTTTGTACAGGGTGAGTAACTGTCTCTTAAAGCACACTAGAGAACATTACAAAGATTACTCATTACAATAGATACAAAGAGAGTGTCCTGGTGAAACTCCAGTTTTTGGACAACTACATAAAACTGACTGAAAAGTTGTGGAGCGCTCTGAGCTGTGCTAGTTCGTCTGAGGGCCCAGCTTGGGGTATATATATATATATATATGGTGTTTTCCTATTCATCAATTTTTTATCTTTATTTATTGTAAGCTCTTCAGAGCAAAGGCGTAGTCTTGCTATACTTTTGTAAAGCACTTAGAACAAGGGGGCATCATTCCTGATTCGTGGCTCTAAGCACTACCTCTATACAAATAAGAGATATTTTGTTAATTTCATTATGATTATTTTGTACTTTTGCACTTACTTGGATTTTTACTTAACTCTTTTTTTGGAGTGGGGGGGGAGGTGTTCTGGTCTGTACATGATTTGGCAGTTTAAGAAGGGTTATGATTCATTACTACAGTTTGAACAGAAAAATAGTGTAATGGTTAAGTTTCAGGAGATTTGAGTTTTATTCCTAGCGCTGCCGCAGGTTTCTGGTATGACCTTGGGCAGGTCAATAATGTCTGTATGCCTCTGTTCCTAATATATAAAATGGGACTGCTTCTTTTGGTCTGTCTTATCTATTTACATTTGGGGGAGGGAGGGTCTTGTATATGAATGCCATCTAAAAGTGTGTATGTGGGGGGGCTCTAATCTCAGTTGAAGCCTCAAAGTGCTATTGTAGTACAAATAATAGTAATGTTAACTTGAACTTTCAGTGTTTGTTCCCGTATTACATAGATAAAGTAGAACAGTTGCTCAGAGTTAATGCTCATGCCACTTCCCCGAAAATGCTGGGTTCCAAAGAAAATTGGTTCTAATTGCTGAATAGAAGGTTCTCCTCATATTAGCAAAATAGATCTACAAAAGTATGAGCTTCACAAAACAGATTGGTTTACTTGTTGGAAGGGATGAAGACTGTTTAGATGAAGACTTTGACAACTTGGGTATGTTCGAAACTCTAGTTTACTGAATGTGACCCTTCTATCCTTTGAAACTCTTTCCTGCAAAGTCAGTAAGGTTTGTTAAGTAATGTATTTGCCCTACAAGATATTACGTAAACGTTAGTTGGGTTTTTTAAAAATATTTGCTTATTTTGCCCTTATTTTTTTTCTACTGAATGCAGGGATGCATGTAGCTTACAGGAGCTACAAGCATCAAAAAAATTACCCTGATGAACCAGAGAAAAAACATACCAAAAGTATCTTAGGGCTAAATGAGCAAGAGATAATGGTTCATGAGTGTAGTTGCTGACTGTTTCAAACAGAATGGATAAAATTAAATTACATAGGATGTTATACCATTTATTAAAGGTTCTCATCCTTTTTTGGTGGAGCTGTAATTCATGCTTTACCTAGCACTTGTTGCTAGGCTGGCAGGCAGTTTTTATTGCTCTGCATGAAGGCAAACTGGGACTTATGGTCTTTGGAGAAAGCTATTTGGAAGGAAATCTGGAGTGTAAAGAGTATAGGAATATGTCTGAACCACAAATAAATGTGACATCGTAATTTGGGTAGCCATACTTATGCTAACTTCAGTCTAGAAGGGTTGGCATGACTGGAAGAGTAGTGTATACATTTCTTGACTGTTTTACCCATGCATAGCTTGCAGTAGCCGTAATCCCAGGTGGGCTTGTACTGTGATAGCTTCCCCTCCCGCCACATCCTCACTATTAAAGCTAGTGTGGGTATAACTGCCTGCACTGCAATTGCACTTACACATGTAGTATAGACATATCCTGGGGCTGACTGGTGGTACTCACAATTGGAATGCAAAATGATATTTAACCATCAGGGAAGTGTCCACAGCTAGAATCTAGGAAAAGCAGCCATGGAGGCCATTCAGAGTGATGACAAAGGTAGGAAACTTGAGCTGGAAGCTCTTAGGAGCTTTGTGGCTATGTTACGAGAATGATTGAATATGAAAAGGTTGCTATCGATTGCAGTCACTAAACGGTCAAATCTGTAGAAGCCTGAATACGACCAAACTTTAAATGACAGTGACGTTTTTGTAAAGGCCATTTCTGAGGATGATCTCTAAACTTACGTAATTGAGATCAATTACTTCAAATCATACCAAACTGGTTTCTTCATAATTACTGTCAGACAATAATTTCTGTGATTTACCAAAACTTTTCAGGTCCTCTGACTTGCAGGTAGTTGTGAGGTGTTAGAGCATAGGTTTCATAAGGAGCATGAATGATATGAATGCCAAAAGACCATAAATTGAACCGTGCAAACTGTCAGGCATTCTTTGGCTGTTGCAGTATGTTTTTCTTGGACTGTTAGGCCATGAGGGTTGTACCCTACCTGTGACTGATACTTGTGTGTGAAACCACACAACTTGGAACAGTTTTGTACCATCTTACTGAGAACAGCTGGACATGTGTGAATGGTGTGAAGAACAACCTACCTACCTGAAACTATCATGGTCCTTCTGGCCTTATTTTTGGATTACTGTTGAGCCTAGGCTTACCTCAATCATAGAAGTTGGACAGAAAAGCCCTGCTAGATCTGTCCATCTCCCTGCTCATGCAAGACTGTTTCTTAAAACATAGTATATTGGGCTTCCGTATCACTGCATGTTATAGATGTCATTTTATATTAACATGCTGTGTGTGTAAGCTTAGAAATCTCTTCTCTAATTTAAAATATATTCTAGTTCACATGTCAAAAGTGTACTTGCCGTGTGAGTTTGTATCACATTACTGATCAGTCTCAGTGCAATTTTAAACTACTACAAATCTGCAATTGTCAATCTATAGGTACATTAAGAAGTAGAATTAAAACAATATTTTAAATGTTATTTGTGTGTGTGGTGATAGTGAATTTGTGAAATCTCCTTTAGGTACAAGTAATTTTTTAATTTTAATTTATTGCATGTATTTCATATATGTATATACAGCTGAAAACTTTTTTCTTCATTGAAGGTCCAGATCAAGAAGACATTCTCACAGACGATACACTCGCTCCAGGTCCCATTCTCATTCTCATTCCCATAGGAGACGATCTCGAAGCAGATCGTACACACCCGAATATCGTCGCCGAAGGAGCCGCAGTCATTCTCCAATGTCTAACCGAAGAAGGCACACTGGCAGCAGAGTATGTGGTATTAATCAAGGCTGAGTATTTTAAATAAATAAATGATGTAAGCTATAGCTCCCTGTGGACATTTCTATCATAAGGGAGGCTAGTTTTTTTTAAAGTGCTTATGAGTTTACTGTGTTTTCTTTATGTATGTGGATGAATAAGGCAAGAGAAACTCTAGGAGATGTCTGCCTCTAAGACTGACTGAAGGAGTGTAAGATTCCTGGATTGGTAATCCATGCATAGCTTGCAGTGTACTGTGTTCAGGGCACTTATGACTATTCATATCTAATAACTTAAGAAGGGCTATGATTAGGATGCATTTCTTGTGCCTTCTTGGTGAAGGAGGTGCTTTGTGGGCTCACGTCTTGGTGCATATGGAGTTAATCAGTTCTGCTAAGTGCTTTGGCTGGATGGGACGTGGGAACATAATGCAGGAATCTGCCTATATAATGGTTCCAGCCAGAGGAGTAAAGAATCTAGCCTTGCCCCAAAGTCTCATCTGTAACATGATAGCATGTAAGGGGGAACAAATCTGTTGGCATCTAATGAATAAAAGTGGCATGGATTTTTGAAGAATAAACATAAGTTTTTAAAAATAAACTACACTTTAATTTAGCTACAGTGTAAACATTAGTTGATCATGTATACTTATGAAAGGCAATATCTAAGTATCTCAAAGCACTTTACAAACAAACCAAGCCCCTATTTTAAAGACGCGCAAGGGGGAATAATAGACGGATTAAAATTATTTACCTAAGATTAGACATTACATTGGTAGGATAGGATCATGGACTCCTGGTTCTCTGCTTAAACCCTTAGACATTATTTCCTAGGAAAGATATCTAGACTTCTCTGACATACTTGAATATGCCTCAGATTAATTTTTATCTAATGAAATTTCACTGTATTGGGCAAATACAAAATTAAAAGGATTAAAAGATGACAGGATGTAACTAAGGAGTAATTCTGCATCTTGTTTGACTTTAACATCTTGTCTGAATTAACTGGTTAGCAGGACTTCTTGAAATGTCAGTGTAGGAATTGATTTTAGCATATTTTATCAATGATCTATTGAAGAATTAATTAAATTTGCAGATGACAATGCCAAATGGAGTTGTATACACATAAAATATTGAGAATGTGTTTATATAACTTAGAAAAATTGGCTGGAATTAATAATGAAATTTAGGAAATATGTTATCTTCTTAAATGAGGGTTGAAGGGAGAGGCAAGAGTAAATTCTGCTGCCAATTTAGGAAAGACGCTGCAAATCATTCCTCTTCAAAAAGGTCTTTCCACCATAAGAGAGACACTCACAACACTTATTCCCCCTCCCCCCTTCAACCCAGATAAAATCCCTAGAGTTTCCAAAAAGGTAATTTATAAAATCTAAAAAATTGAAAACAAAATGCCCAAGTAGAATTTTTTCTATACATGGACAAGTGCCAGAGATGCCATAAAAAACAGTAGGGATTTCACCATTCCCGTTGGTTTTACGTGAAAGGTTTCTCACATACTATGGTGATGGGGGGCAATATTAAATTAATCCCTCCTGTATTGGGGATTGTAACCTATTACATATGTTCGCAATGTGATACATGGAATAGTTATTGTTATACCTAGCTCTCTGTGTCACATATTAGAAAGGTAATAGCAATGGTTGAGCTGTCTTTGGGATACTATGTGCAAATAGGAGATTTACAGAAGGGCAGTACAGATAGCAGTAGGTATAGAGGGACTTGCCCATGAAGAAAAACTAGAAGAAATATGTATTAAGCTTAAAAAAAAAACTGCTAAAGACATGCTGTAACAAACACAAATAATTAAGGGTGTCAAGGATAAAGAGGAAATTGCTTAATGATATGGGGAGGAATAACTGGAAATTATGGAATGAAATGGAGCCAGGTAAAACTTAGGCTGAACTTCAGGGGGGAAAATGCTTAAATGGTGTAATTGATGCAATAATCTTCCAAAGGAGGAGTTGGCATCCTTGTTCAAATTACCCAGATTGAGCATGGCAAAACTAGACTGAAACATTGAATAAAGTAGTGAAGCCATTCTGGATCAAAGGAAATAACAAAAAGGCAAAATACTCAAAAATGTCTAGGGAATATCCAGCATTGGCGTAAATGTGAATTGGATAAGGTTTATTTTTTTTATCATACATTTTGGTGTATCACTTTGATCCATGATCAAGAGTCATCAGTACCTGTCTGACTGACTTTAGTTTCTGGAAGGAACCTGCCAGTTGAAATCTGAGGTGCTGCTCCTCAGAGTAGCTCTATCTCCTGTATAGGCTTTTAGCTCACAGCAGAGCCCCTGCTATCAGTAGTCCTCTGTCTCTCCGCTCCAGTTGACAGTTACTTTAGTGACTCAGGTACTCTTACTTCAGCACTTTTGTAGCTATGGCAGCAGAAGCAAGATCCAAATGAAACATGGGGCCGGAGTATGCCTGATCTATTCTGTGGCAAGCTTGCCCATAGGATTTTGACCCTCCTTCAAGACAGAGAGAGTCCCACAAGATTGATGACACCAAGAACAAGAACCTGTGATCCTGATGGGCTGGGCAATATGCTGTTTGGTATTGCACGAGATGACTTACCAACCCAGCAGGCTCAATCCAATTAAAATGGATGATTTAAGTCTTTACTGCTGGGGGAATGAAAGCTGAAACGAGCTTTTCCTCCAAATCTATTTGTGACTACTAAGAATACCAACGCTGCCCAGCTATCCACTTACTATAAAGAAAAAGGGGGTTGGACAACTCACGTACTCCTGATCCTTTAGGAAGTTCATCTAAGTTACGCCTTTTTTCTCTGATCCGTTGCGTCCTGAAGAAACTGAATTCAGTGGCTCTGATTCTGATCACCACCAATTTGGTAGAAATGATCAGGATGATCCAAATTGATGATCCTGATTTCATTTGCCTTCAGTTTGCCTGATTATGTGTTCTTTACATTAGCGTTGGAGTTAGCAATAAGCAGTCTAAATTGCTCGACTTGGGAAATACATTAGTTTATGTAACCATGGTAGCTAACTTCAGACATAAGTCAGTACATTTCTCCATATCAAAAGTGCCTATTGACCCCTCGCTACCTTAAAATATTTTAAAAGGTGCAAGCGAGGAAAGCATTTCGCATATGGCGATATGCCCATTTCATTTATTAGTTTGCACAATACAATATTTTAGGTATAAAATCCAGCCTAGAACATGTGTACAACATGAGTATGTGTTTTACTGTAGTGGTAATTTTTTAGGCACTCACACTTACGAGTAGTGTATATATGCGTAGAATGCATACAAAAATGCATTAAAAAGGTTATTTAAGGTTTAAAAGTATGTTAACAAACACCCAAGGAAATTACATTTTAAAAAATCTACACTTAGTTATTTAGGTTACAAAGCAAAGAACTTGAAAGTTGGGGAATGTCAGATTCACAGTTGCCCATGCAACCTAAATTTCCCCCCCTTGTGCATACAATCTGTGGACTAAATGAGGTAGGTGTCTTGGGAGGGGGGGAGGATTTGATTAAAGATTGTGCACATGCATTTTGACAAAGTGGCAGAATTAAGATTGCACAGGCAACTGTAAATCTGGACATTCTTAACATCTGCATTCTTAGTTTCGTAATCCTAAACAATTTTCTTTTGAAGCAGTTTTTTGTATTGCACTTCCCTAGGTCTGTTAAAGGGAAAAATATAAAGCAGGTTGTACGGCTGTAACAATCACAGTCATGGATAATCAAGAAAGTTTGAGACCTCAACCCTCAGCAGTGCAGCAAAATTTCTACCACTTGAGAACTGACCATATTAACCGGCAGCAGCAGGAGACAGTTATCCCAGAGCAGGAATGGGCTGCAGGTGCCATGTGCAGAATCAGTGGGGTAGGTGGGGGATCCTGGCTTGATTGTCTCCACTCCCTTCCCAACTGCCCCCTGAGCTGAGGGAGCTTCTGCCCCATATGATGCCCGCAAGGACAGGCAGATGGAGATTGACCTAGATCATGGCTTCAGAGTCATATGTTTGTATCCATGTCCAATCCGCAAACATGGTCTGTGGATATCCGCAGATTTGCAGGGCTCTACCCATGTGATGTGGTTGGAGAATTAGGGGGCCTGGTCTAGCTCCTTCCCTAAACGGCACTACTGGAGTTGCTCTGGTAGGACCCAGGTGTTCCTAATACATCGTGTGCTGTGGCAGCCTGGTTCATTAGAATGTCTGTGTTCTGTTAATATTTTGGCAGGCAGACAGAATTTTCCTGAGGAATGCTAATGAAAGAAGGGAAATTATTTTAACTGTTTATAACTCTGCTAAATCTGAAAGGAATTTCATGGGATTAAAGGCACTTCTCTACCCAAGGGCTTTCTAGTTGCCAAATTTCAAAAGCCTGCTGCGAACAGTGTAGGTGTTAAAACTTCTGGAAAAAGAATTACAAGAATCTGATATGATGGAAAGCATAAAGAAACCTAAATATAGAGATTACCACCAGTTACTCCTGTAATAGTGCATGGCATTGTGCATTTTTACACGTTTTTTCTTCTGTTTAACTTTACAAATAGGTCTAAATATTTCATCATATAATCTCCCGTTTTAAATGCTTTGAATAGACTTGTTTTGCATTTATTTGTATATTTGAGAGAATGAACAATTTCCCTTGATCCAACAATGTAGGTCAGAAAGCATAGTGATAAAGTGAGAAGTGCCAAAAGTCAAGCAGAACTGGGCCTTACAAAGGTAATTAAAATCAATAGTAAAAGGTTCTTTAGCCCTATAAGCAAAAAGAAAACCAGGAAGGAAGTGGGACTGCTAAACACTGAGGACAGGGTGGAGATTAAAATAATATTAAGTATGGCCTAACACCTAAACAAATACTTTGCCTCAGTTTTTAATAAGGATAATGAGGTGCTTGGGGGCAGGGGTATGGTTGCTGATGGGAATGAGGATATGGAAGTAGAAACTGCCACATCGTAGAGGGAGGCCAAACTCAAAACAGCTTAATGAGATCAAATCGAGGGGCCTGGCTAATCTCCATCCAAGAATATTACAGGAACCGGCTCATGAAATTGCTATCCAATAGCAAGGATTTTTAATGAATCCATAAGCTCGGCTGTCATACCATGTGACTGGACAATTACAGACAGAGTGCCTATATTTAAGAAAAGGGGAGGGGCAGAGTAACTTGGGCAACTACAGTCCTGTTAGTTTGACCTCAAATATATGCAAGGTCTTCAAACAAATTTTGAAAGAGAGTAATTAAAGACATAGAGGTAAATGGTAATTGGGATAAAAAAACAACATACCCCTCTACCTCGATATAACGCGATCCAATATAACACGAATTCGGATATAACACGGTAAAGTAGCGCTCCAGGGGGGCGGGGCTGCGTGCTCTGATGGATCAAAGCAAGTTCGATATAATGCGGTTTCACCTATAACGCGGTAAGATTTTTTGGCTCCCGAGGACAGCGTTATATTGGGGTAGAGGTGTAGTTTTACAAATGGTAGGTGAGGCCAGACCAACCTGATCTTTCTTTGAGAAGATAACCAGTTTTTCTAAACAGAAAGAACATAACGGCCATACTGGGTCAGACCAAAGGTCGGTCTATCCCGGTATCCTGTCTTCCGACAGTGGCCAATGCCAGGTGCCCCAGAGGGAATGAACAGAACAGGTAATCATCAAGTGATCCATCACTTGTCGCCCATTCCCAGCTTCTGGCAAACAGAGGCTAGGGACCCCATCCCAGCTAATAGCCATTGATGGACCTGTCCTCCATGAACTTATCTAGTTTTTTTTTGAACCCTGTTAGTCTTGGCCTTCACAACATCCTCTGGCAAAGAGTTCCACAGGTTGACTGTGTGTTATGTGAAGAAATACTTCCTTTTGTTTGTTTTAAACCTGCTGCCTATTATTTTCATTTGATGAGGCCTAGTTCTTGTGTTATGAAAAGGAGTAAATAACACTTCCTTATTTACTTTCTCCACACCAGTCATGATTTTATAGACCTCTGTCATATTCCCCCTTAGTGGTCTCTTTTCCAAGCTGAAAAGTCCCAGTCTTATTAATCTCGCCACATACGGCAGCGGTTCCATACCTCTAATCATTTTTGTTGCCCTTTTCTGAATCTTTTTCAATTCCAATATATCTTCTTTTTTTTAGATCGGGCGACCACACCCTGCACGCAATATTCAAGATGTGGGCATACAAAGGATTTATATAGAGGCAATATGATATTTTCTATCTTTTTATCTATCCCTTTCTTAATGATTCCCAAAATTCTGTTTGCTTTTTTGACTGCCGCTGCACATTGAGTGGATGTTTTCAGAGAACTATCCACAATGGACTCCCAAGATCTCTTTCTTGAGTGGTAACAGCTAATTTAGACCCCATTATTTTATATGTATAGTTGGGATTATGTTTTCCAATGTGCATTACTTCTCATTTATCAACACTGAATTTCATCTGCCATTTTGTTGCCCAGTCACCCAGTTTTGAGAGATCCTTTTGTAGCTCTTCACAATCTGCCTGGAACTTAACTATCTTGAGTAGTTTTGTATAAGCTGCAAATTTTGCCACCTCACTGTTTACCCCTTTTTTCAGATTATTTAATAATATGTTAAATAGGACTGGGCCCGTATTGACCCCTGCGGGACACCACTATTTACTGCTCTTCATTCTGAAAACTGACCATTTATTCCTACCCTTTGTTCCCTATCTTTTAACCAGTTACAGACAACGGTTAGTAGTCCTGCAGTTTCACATTTGACTTCTTTCAGAATTTTTGGGTGAATACCATCTGGTCCTGGTAACTTATTACTGTTTAGTTTATCAATTTGTTCCAAAACCTCCTCTAATGACAGCTCAGTCTGGGACAGTTCCTCAGATTTGTCACCTAAAAAGAATGGTTCAGGTTTGGGAATCTCCCTCACATCCTCAGCCGAGAAGACCAATGCAAAGAATTCATTTAGTTTCTCCACAATGGCCTTATCCTCCTTGAGTGCTCCTTTATCATCTCGATCGTTCGGTGGCCCCACTGGTGGTTTAGCAGGCTTCCTGCTTCTGATGTACTTAAAAAATTACTTTGCTATTACTTTTTGAGTCTTTGGCTAGCTGTTCTTCAAATTCTTTTTTGGCCTTCCTAATTATATTTTGACATTTCATTTGCTAGAGTTTATGCTCCTTTCTATTTTCCTCACTAGGATTTAACTTCCACTTTTTGCCTCTCACTGCTTCTTTTACTTTATTGTTTAGCTACGGTGGCCCTTTTTTGGTTCTCTTACAGGGTTTTTTAGTTTGGGGTATACATTTAAGTTGAGCCTCTATTATGGTGTCTTTAAAAAGTTTGCATGCAGCTTGCATGGATTTTACTTTTGGTGCTGTACCTTATAATTTCTGTTTAACTAACCTCATTTTTGTGTAGTCCCCCTTTTTGAAATTAAATGCTACAGTGTTGGGCTGCTATGGTGTTTTCTCTGCCCCAGGGATGTTAAATTTAATTATGTTAATGGTCACTATTACCAAGCAGTCCAGCTATATTCACCTCTTGGACCTGACCCTGTGCTCCACTTAAGACTAAATCAAGAATTGTCTCTCCTCTTGTGGGTTCCAGGACTAGCTGCTCCGAGAAGCAGTCATTTAAGGCAGGGATTGGCAAACTACGGCCCTTCAGATGTTTTAATCAGGCCCTCAAGCTCCTGCCGGGAAGTGGGGTCCGTGGCTTGCCCCACTCCACGCTTACTATGGCTCTGTGCGGCTCCCGGAAGCAGCAGTATGTCCCATCTCCAGCTCCTACACAAAGGGGCAGCCAGGGTGCTCTGCACGCTGCCCCCGCCCCAAGTGCTGCCCCCACAAGTCCCATTGGCCAGCAACCGCAGCCATTGGCAGCTGCGGACGGGGCAGCGCGCGGAGCCATCTGGTCGCGCCTCTGCTTAGGCAGAGGGGTTCATGCTGCTGCTTCCAGGAGCTGCTTGAGGTAAGTGCCACCCAGAGCCTGCACCCCGACCCCTCCCGCGACCCAACCCCCTGTCCCTCCCCCCGCACCCCTGTCCCAGCCCTGATCCCCTTCCCGCCGTCCAAACCCCTTGGTCCCAGCCCGGAGCACCCTCCTGCACCCCCCAGCCAGAGTCCGCACCCTAACCCTCTGTCTCAGCCCAGAATCCCTTCCTGCACCCTGAACTCCTCATTTCTGGCCCCACCCCAGAGCCCTCACCCCTTCCCGCATCCTAGTCCCCAATTTCACGAGCATTCATGGCCCATGGTACAATTTCCATACCCAGATGTGGCCCTCGGGCCAAAAAGTTTGCCCACCCCTGATTTAAGGTGTCAAGAAACTTTATCTCTGCATCCGGTTCTGAGGTGACATGTACCCAGTCAATATGGGGATAGTTGAAATCCCCCGTTATTGAGTTTTTTATTTTAATAGCCTCTTAATCTCCCTGAGCATTTCACAGTCACTATCACCATCCTGGTCAGGTGGTCGGTAATATATCCCTGCTGCTATACTCTTATTATTCGAGCATGGAATTACTATCCATAGAGATTCTATGGTACTGTTTGGTTCAGTTAAGATTTTTATTTCATTTGATTCTACGCTTTCTTTCACACATAGTGCCATTCCCCCGCTGGCACGACCTGTTCTGTCCTTCCAATATATTTTGTACCCTGGTATTACTGTGTCCCATTGATTATGCTTATTCCACCAAGTTTCTGTGATGCCTATTATATCAATATCCTCATTTAATGTAAGGCACTTCAATTCACCCATCTTATTAAAGCACTTTAAAAACTTGTCACTTTTAAGCTGTCTGCCATTATATGACGGCATGTAGTGATCTAATCTACCTGGATTTCAGTAAAGCATTTGATACAATTCTATGTGGGAAATTATTAGTTAAATTGAAGAAAATGGGGATTAATATGAGAATCAAAAGATGGGTAAGGAACTGGTTAAATAAAGGGGAAACTACAACAGGACATGTTGAAAGGTGAACTGGCAGGCTGGAGGGAGGTTATAGTGGAGTTCCTCAGGGATTGGTTTTGGGACCAAGCTTATTTAACATTTTTTGTTAATGATCTTGATACAAAAAGTGAGCACTAATAAAAACTGAATGACTCAGTGGGGACATTGTCAATACTGAGGAGGACATACAAAAAGATTTGGATGACCTTGAAAACTGAAGTAATAGAAATGGAATGAAATTTAATATTGCAAAGTGCAAGATCATGCACTTCAGGGACTAATTACAAGAATTTTTGCTGTAAGCTGAGGATTTACCATTGGAAGCGACTGAGGAGAAGACAGACCTGGGTATATTGATTGGCAGCTCAATCATCCTGTGATCAGTGTGATGCGGCCATGAAAAAGGCTAATGCAATCCTAGGCTGCATCAGATGAAACATTTCCAGTAGAGCTATGGAATTACCATTGTGCAAAGTACTGGTGAGACCTCATCTGGTTACAGTGTACAGTTTTGGACTCCCATGTTTAAGATGAATTCAAACTGGAACCAGGTGCAGAGAAGGGCGACTAGTATGAGGAGAGAAGTGAAGAACCTGCCTTGCTAGATGAGACCTATGGAGCTTGGCTTGTTTAACCTAACAAAATGAAGGCTGAGGGAAGCTATGATTGCTCTCTGTAAATACATCAGAGGGATAAATACCAGGGAAGGAGAGGAGGTCTTTAAGGGCCATTGTTGTCACAGGAACAAATGGATATAAACTGGCCATAAATAGGCTTAGGTTTGAAATTAGACAAAGGTTTCTAACCATAAGAGGAGTGAAGTTCTGGAACAGCCTTCCAAGGGGAGTAGTGGGGGGCAAAAAACCTAACTTTTTTCAAGACTCGGCTTAATAAGTTGACGGAGGGGATGGTATAATGATAGCCTGCAGTGGCCCATCCACTATTGCTAGTACCAATTATCCCTAGCAGCCTGAGATGGGACGCTATCTGGGGAGGGTTCTGTGTTACTACAGAGAATTTCGCAGGTGTCTGGCTGTTGGGTCTTGCTGACATCCTCGGGGCCTAACCAGTTGCCATATTTGGGGTCGGGAAGGAATTTTCCCCCAGGTGAGAGTGACAGGTTTTTTAGCCTTCATCTGCAGTGTGAGGCATGGGTTACTTGCTGATTTGAACTAGAGTAAATGTTTGATTCCCTGTAACTTGAAATCTTTAAATGAAGGTCTGAGGACTTCAGTAACTCAGAGGTTATGAGCCTATTACAGGAGTGCGTGAGTGAGATTCTGTGGTCTGCTTTGTTCAGGAGGTCAGATTAGATGATTACGATGGTCCGTTCTGGCTTTTAAGTCCGTATCTGTATCAGTTCTCACATTAATTATAAACATTTCTGTATAATATTGTAAATGAGCTTACCCGCAGACACAGAAAAATTTAAGCTTTGTAAATTATAAACAATGGTGAAAACCAGGTAGAAAATGGTTTAGTCCTGAGAAAAGCTTAAAGAAACACCATCAGTTTGTGATCTGGTCAATTAAAGTAGTAGTTTTGGAACCCATGTCTGTCCAGGAATCCCCTGTCAATTTTTTATAGCATGTACAATCACATTTTTCCTTTAAACTTTCACTTTTATTGTATAAGATTTACACAAAGAAATAATTAAAACTGATTGTGCATTTGACATTATTGAATAAAGTAATCCAATTGAAGGTACAAAAGAATTTTCTCACTAAAATTTCAGTTAGTAATTTTAAATTCTAATAATGACAAGAACAAAATTATCATACAGATGTTTGATTTTTAAATTTAAAGTGTCTTTATGCCTTAAACAGGATGGAAACCTCATTTCAAAATGCACAGGGCCCACACATTGTCACAAGGAGTGTTTCTTTTAGAATAACTGACATGAATAAGAAGTTCATGCCAATTGTAGAGATATGAGATCCCTTAGGGAATTAAGGAATGAAATTACACTTTTTTTTATGTAAGTCAATGACTTACATCAAGTTAGTGGTCACTGAAAATGTCAGTGAATTATTCCATGGCTGTGGAATTAAGCTCCAAAATGAAAAATAAAAAATTGTAATTTTCTTCACAGTTCCAGGGATCAGGAGCATGTAAACCAGTGCACTTTTTGTGGCTAGAAAATCTGAAACCATAGTTCTGAAAGGTGTGAACTGCCCCATTAACTTCATTGTTCTATCTAAAAATGATTAAATAAATTTCAACCTTATTAACTTTCACTGCTAATTGTAGCTGAAACATTCAGCTACTGCAATTAATCCTACAGTCCTAAAGTGCTTCCGACAGTTCCGAATGTGCCAGAAGTTTCAAAACAGCTTCTACAATGCATTGTATTAAAACTAAAATATCCAGCATATCAAAAAATGAAAATGTGGAGACAACATAAAATAAATGTAATAAAAAGTACTGTATTGATTGTATGGGTCGTTATATTTTTAAAAAGTAGGTTTAGTAAAATTCAACTGAAATGAAGGTGCCAAAGAATTTCCAGTCTACCATGTAAGAATCCTGGCATCTTGCTGCAGAACTCTGGTCCTACTGGTTTTGGAGTGCCAAGGTCCCTTTAAAATAGTACACATCTATACTATCTAGATAAGATGAGCTTGTGATCTTGGTCTGTTTAGAGGGATAGGACAGATATGCACCTTACAAACCTAAATTGAGCCTTTTATTTACAGACAAAAAACAATTGGGGGGGGGGAGGGGAATGACTGTAATCTTCCCCAAAGATTGTGAATATTTCTGGCATAGTAATAGTTGAGATGTCCATAGCTAGCAAAAGATAAATTAGGAATTCAGGCACCCCTATGCTAAATATTCATGAATAGAGTATTAAATGACATTCCAGTCTCTGCAGAGAGGTCAAGGATGGAATCTCAATGGAGAGTAGTGCTACTCTGACCAGTAGTGTCTGTCCTTCCAAATCAGGCCAGTAGCATATTAGTGAGGGGCAGTATCGGAAAGCTTCTGGAGCAGCTGTCTATGTTGTACTTGTTCTGTAGGTGAACAAAGGGCTTCAGATTCCAGTACTGTGAATTCAGCATCATTTGCTAATATTTAATTTGCTGTAATAGATTTTATTAAAAAATTAAGTTTGATTTTTTGAAAATACCTTTTAGTTCATTAAGGTTGAAGTGCTAAGCTTTGAATAACCAGGAAAACAAATAGTAGTTGGCTGATATGATAGTAATAACATTTTAATGGAATATATTTTGAACTTTCGTTTTAACAGGCTAATCCAGATCCTAACACATGCCTTGGAGTGTTTGGCCTCAGTTTGTATACCACTGAGCGAGACTTGCGTGAAGTCTTTTCCCGTTACGGACCTTTGAGTGGCGTCAATGTGGTTTATGATCAGCGGACTGGACGATCAAGAGGATTCGCTTTTGTTTATTTTGAGAGAATAGACGATTCTAAAGAGGTAAATTCATGTTTATTGCTCTTGACTGTAGTTCATTCTTATTACATATTTGTAAAAAGCTTCACAAATATTTTTATAAACTAAAGAATTTAAATGTATTTTGTGAATCTCACAGATGCTGAAAATCGCCGTCTAAATAGTACATTGGTCAAATTCATGAGAAGTAATGATTTGGTGTTTATAAAACACTGCAATTTTATATACAAATATATTGTTTAAGCAAACATTATTAGGCTTGACAGCTGTAAAGTGCAATCAGTATACATCCATTAACACAACCATAACTACCCACTAATGCAAGCCCTATTTGCCTCACTACATCTATTACAAAATGGAAATAAAATCTTTAAAGGGGCATGGATTTTTTTTAATGTTACGAAACTTTTTAAACATCTGCCTTTAAAAAATTACTTCTCTCTTCCCTGAGCAGTCTCTTACCTGTCAGAATCGTGAGAAATACCATTGTTTTCCCTCACATAGTCTTGAGCTTTTGTCTGTCACCATTGTTTTAAGGAGCAAGATTTGGACAGCTTAGTTTAACTCGTCAGTGTGTGCCTTTATTGGTCAGTGGGTTACTAATCAATGCAAAACACTGACAACACACCTTGCTGCTGGGATTGATCATTCTCCATCCATGATATGGTCAGTTGAGGAGGAAAGAATGGAAACCAAGAATCTAAATTGATTTTTGCACAAGGGGTACAGAACACTATATTAAAGTAGTGTCTTTTTTAAAAAGAGGTGTATTGTTACTTCTTCCCTGATATGAAATTATATTGAAACTTCTGTGGCTGTGAGGCCACCTCAATTAAAGATACTGTATCTCCAGATTTTCTAAACAGTGCTCTGTCAAAATGAAGAAAAATAGACACCAAATCAACAGTTTCAAGTTTACAGTCAATGCTTCTTCCATTAAACTAGTTTCGCAAATGCTGGGATGTGACACCTTCCCTACTCTCCCCCCAAGTGGGTCACGAGGGGGTAGCTACCCGATTGGTTGCACTCCAGGGGCTAAGAAACAAAAAAAATTTCCTATGCTTAGGTAGAAGGCATTTTGATTAAGAGGAAGGGTGGGTTAGTGGTTAACACTGGACTGGGACTTGAGAGATCTGGATTCCGTTCCTGGTTCTTCCACAGATTTCTAGTGTAACTACAGATGAGTAATTTGCAGGTTAAGTTTCCTGATTGTAAAATGGAGATAATAGATTCAGGAATTGCAGTAAAATGGAGAACACCTCATGGGTGTAGAACATCAGTTTATTAATGTTTTTTGTTAAGCACTCACGTGACAAGAATGTGAGATAGGAAGAAAGCTACCAAAGGCTTCAGCTTTTAGGAGTGAGGAAAAGAGAAGCTTTCTTTTTCTTGCAGTTACTTCACTCTGTTATTCCACTTTAACTTGAAACAGTTGGATGGAAGGAGGTTGCGGAATGGGGGAAATCATAGTTATTATCAGCACCTTACTCAACACATTGCCCCCAGTCTCCAAACTGAGGTCCAGTTTCTTGTTGAGGAGCCCATATTTGCACTTCTTTGTGGCCACAAATTTTTGTGGGATTTTGGATTGCAGTAAGAAGTGTAATTGATGATTGGATCCTCGGTGGGAACAGTTCATATCCACAGTACTAGACCATGCTCCCTCTTGTTCAGCTGAAGTAACTGGAAGAAGAGCACTATTTTACATACCTTTGGGAATTACTTGCCATATGTAGAAGTCATGCATGCCAACGTGTGTCCTTTAAAGTGATCCATGTAAACAGCTGAACTTTCTTTCCTATTCAATATGGAGCTATGCTTTAGTCTTTCATGAACTAGTCCAAAGTAAACAAGTGTTTCTTTGGACCATTAGCAGGTTCATGTGCATTCTGACATGTCTGAAACTTGACTAAGATTCCTTTGAGATTTTAATGTGACCCTGGCAAAGCTGATCAGCTTTAAAGTTATTTAGTACCTGTGTTTTCTGCTACTGAGTAACTGGCTACAGAGACCCCACCTTAAGCAAAACTTAAGATTTCATTTTAAAGTTTCTAGCCCTCATGGTTATGAAAAGAACATGAAATGAGTGTAAACTGTCTCCGTGTTGTCTTCCTAAGTGCGTAGACAGTCTGAAACAATAGGTCTAAGAGGTGTGAATTATCCTCATGCTCAATAGAGGGTGAATTCTGGAACCTAATTATGACAGTTTGTGTCAGCCTTGTTAACTATAACAATGCTGACCACATTAGCAGAAACATCTGGCTATTATGCTTATTTCACAGTCATAAACTGTTTTCCCAGATTCCAAAAGCCCCAGCTATCTCTTAACCAGCTGATAGTCTCCAGCTTCCACAATGCAGTTCTGTATTTTCCGCACACAATTCTGCAGCCAATTAAAAAACTGATAATTATGGTGCAACGTTTAATTGAATTTAACATGCTTTTATTTAATTCTGTAAAATTCTCCTTCAGTGTGAAACTGCTACAGAATTTCCAGTCTTTCACCAGAGTGCTAAATTTCTGTCACGGTAGAATTTGGGTCCATTCAGCATGTCTGAGTACACATAACTGCCATCTCTCCATATGCTATCCAGTCTCCCTCTACTTAAGTAAAAATATCATAGGTGGTAACAACCAAACTCCACATCACTTAATAGCCCCACCCTATCATTTCTCATTAAGTATCAGGATGTCGACTCCCACCTCTGATTGTCTCATGATACTAGCCTTGATTACCCATTTGTTAGATTTTCAAACAAGGACCGTCATGCTTTCTCCCATGCGGCCCCTCACGCTTGGGAGGAGCTTCCTGTAAACATCCGCAAAACCACTTCAATGTTCTCCTTCAGATCCCTCCTTAAAACTCTCCTATGCCACGATGCACCCAAAAAGATTGACAACAATTGGGTTATGGTCTCAGCACACCAGTAGCCAATGAGGCTGGCCAATATTGTCTAATTGCTTCCCTGTGCTCTTTGTTGTAACCCTCTGTCTCTTGTATAATTAGATTGTAAGCTCCTTGGGCAGGAACCTCCTTTTTTGTTCTCTGTTTATGAAGCGCCTGTCAAAGTGGGGTCCTAGTACATGAGTACATCTTGAATTTTTCTGTCAGACTTTAGATAGGTCTTGAGAAAGAGGCAGTCGTTGTAGCAGTAATTAATGGCCACTCTCCAGCTATGGATAAAAGCAAAACCTCAGCCTTACTTTGGCTTTTGATTCTATTGTTGCATGGCATAGCTAAAGTAGATGGCATAACACTACACTCATTCCAACTGAACAGGACCCAGATAGAGGTGTTGGAAAGCTGCTCCTCTTTTTTTCTTCAATTGATGTCCCTATGGGTGCTTCGCTTCAGGCATGCATGCACCTGTTGATCCCATGATTGGAGATTTTTACTTAGCAATGTCCATTCAGTCTGCTCATCCATCCCTATGCCTCCTTGTGCCAGATACCAAGGCTATATTGGGGTGTGTGGGCAACCGCCCTGAGTTCCTTCTCAATCGCCTCAGCCTGAGACGTAGCCTTAGGGCTGGTCTACACTGCCGCGCTAGTTCGGCGGCTGGGGATCGAAGTTCCGAGTTCGATTTATCGCGTCTGGTCTGGACGCGATAAATCGAACCAGGAAGTGATCCCCGTCGACTGCGGTACTCCAGCTCAACGAGAGGAGTACCACGGAGTCGACGGGGAGCCTGCCTGCCGCGTGTGGACCGCGTCTGAACCGCGGTAAGTTCGAAGTAAGGTATGTCGAATTCAGCTACGTTATTCACGTAGCTGAATTTGCGTACCTTACTTCGACTTGGGGGGTAAGTGTAGACCAAGCCTTAGTGTGTCCTCCTTGAGTGTGCCTTGGCTTTTCTAATATTTCTATAGTGGTATAGTTGTTAGTATAGATTTAGTTAGATAAGTAGTGAGATAATAGTTTTACTGTCTTTACCCTCTGGGAGACTTTTATTTTTCCTGGCAGGGCATATCTGGCTCACCAGACTTCAAACATTGCGTCTCCTGCTGAGAGGCTGTACTTGTGCGAGATGGCCACTCTAAGTGTGTCGGTTGCTTGGGAAGTCTCACGTCTGCCAGAAGTGCAATTTCTGCCTGGCCCTCAAATCCAGGGCAATGAAAAAGGAGGTTAAACTCAGTCTGCTAATGATGGCACACTCCCTTCAGACAGTTCCTGAGTCAGGTCAGGAGACAGACACAGAGAGACAGACACACACACACAGTACAGCTGTCTCCAGACAGCACCCCTTTTACCTCAGCACAGACTTCTCCTAAGGAAGGAAGGAAGAACTTTGGAGGCTTCAGGAAATGCTTCTAAAAAGAAGAACATTGGCTCTCGCCTTAAGGACCCAGCTCCAAAACAAGTCCAGGACCCTGGTGAGATCTATGGTCTCTGAAGGCTCTACCTCTTGACTCGATACCACTGAGTCGAAGGACTCCTCATCCATTACCAGAGGGGTTGTAAAGTCCTGGAGCACCAAGGAGAAAGAGAGGTCCAATTGGGACTTGGTACCTTCTACCAGCAAGGAGGGCAAGCACAGACACTCAGGACTGACACCATCAATGTTTAGCCTAGCTGTCAGTACCCATGCATTCGGCACCAGCAAGCAACAGCACCACACACCATTGGCTTTTATTTCGGTATGCCTACCATTGGTGGTACCCCATCAACTTTGGCAACCATGGCCTCCGCTACCGTGTCGGTACTGATCCCCTTTTCGGTACCACAGGAGTTCAGATATACTAAGGCAATATCAGCCTTTCATCCTCCACTAGAACGATTTTCCATATTTGCTCATGCAGTGTGGTCTAGGCTTATTAAAGGTTTGAGGAATGTCTGTCTCCAGATTAGAAACCCTGCCCCAACCTGAGACCTCAATCTGGTACCTTATGAGACCTCCATTCGAACCAGTGGCAACCTGCTCTGTTGCTTTGGTCTATGAAGACAGCCTTTTTAGTAGCCATCACGTCAGCCATAAGGTCAGGGAGATTGGATCCTGGATGGAAGATTCCCTTTCCCTGTCCCC